TCCGGCCAGTCCCTCCACAGGGGTCAGCTGCCTGATTCTCTCCTGAGGACGTGGCTCTCCCGGAACACATGCGGGGGCTGTTTCCTTGTCAGGCTTGTGAAAATCAGCCTTGGAGAAAAAAGGGAACTTTTTTATACTGAATGTTGGCTTTGACTCTGTGTGTGTGTGTGTGTGTGTGTGTGTGTGTGTGTGTGAGTGTGTTTACTTAATGAAATTTTATTTTTGTGAAATTCCTTTCCAATTATGTAGCAGAATTCACCTTCACCTCCCAGTCAAACTTTTGGTTCCACAGTCGACCGTGGGCGTCGCTGATTTGAAGAATTCTCTTCTGCGTTTCTGAACAGACATGTTGCTCTCAAGAACTGAGCTTGTGCAGGGCTGGGAGAAACTCAAGTTTTATACGTTTCCATAGAGTTTCCATCCTGCAGTTATAAGGTAGGAAGTGCCCGGCCCTGGGAGACCCAGCCCAGCTGTGTGCTCGTGTGGGAGCCGAGCACAGCCTCCCCCACGCCCCTGCCACTCCACACCTGAGCCCTCTCACGGCCCAGACACCACGCTCTTTAATTGTCCGGGTTCCGTTCCCTGTGCAGTGGGTCGCTTTTTCCTGCTGGGAGCTTCGGTGATGGTGTCAGGGCTCCTTTAGGGGACAGTTACCCCCGTCTAGGAAAGAAACCCCCGCGGAGTCTGGGCAGCGGAGGCTCCCTCAGGCCCGTGTCACCCAGAGCACAGCCCTATCACGCGTGTTGAGAAGCATGTTTCCACCAGCTGTGTTCAACACTACAATGCAGTTTGAAAACTACATTTACATCCAGAACAATAAAAACCCATATTTTTTGGAAACGCTCGTGGTGTGTGGTCTTCAGTGCTGCCCTGTTGGTCTCTGGCAGTGGTTCTCAACCTTGGCTGCACATTAGAATCACCTGGGAATCTTTTTTAAAATCCTGATTTCTGGGCCTCATCCTCCAGAAATTCTGTTTCTTTGTTACTAATGTTGTGGCCCCACCCCATAATAAAGAAACAGAATTTCCGGAGGATGAGACCCAGAAATCAGGATTTTAAAAAGATTCCCAGGTTATTCTAATGTGCAGCCAAGGTTGAGAACCGCTGGTCTATGGGGAGCCGGTGAAAGGAGAGCAGGCAGAGTGCCGCCTGACTGCGCTCCTGACCTGGAGGTGGGGATGCCGCCTGCAGTGGAGGCATTGGGGTGAGCACAGAGGTCAAGGCGGGTGAAGTTCTGGAGGTATCTCTAGAAAGACAGTGGTTCTACAGAGAGGCCTCCGCCAATGGGGCCGGTATCCCACGCCCAGTGTGACCGATTCTGCCCATGAACTCACCAGGCAGGCAGAGTTGAGTGGCGCTTGTACCAACTGCCCAGATCTGTATCTCTTGACTAAAATGCAGTGGTTTGCTACACAGGTTCTTGTCTGATCAAACCCCAAGGCCTCCCCCAAGGGAAGAAGTTCATGACACAAAACAAGATGTGGGGATTTGAGAGCCAGGGCCCTGGAGAGAGGTGAGTGGCATGTGGACTCCCTCCAGCCACAGGGAGCTCGACTGCCAACAAGCTAAGCAGCTGGTGTCTGTCTGGTTCTTTCAAGTTTTTGAGCCCAGCTCCATGTTAAGTAAGGAAGATGTTTGGGCATAATTTGGAGAAGTAGAGTTTGGATGGGATGGCAAGGGAGGAGCGGAGAGTGTCTAGAGCAGTAGTTCTCAACCTTCCTAATGCCAAGACCCTTTAATACAGTTCCTCATGTTGTGGTGACCCCCAACCATAAAATTATTTTCGTTGCTACTTCATAACTGTAATTTTGCTACTGTTATGAATCGTCATGTAAATATCTGATATGCAGGATGTATTTTCATTGTTACAAATTGAACATAATTAAAGCATAGTGATTAATCACAAAAACAATATGTAATTATATATGTGTTTTCCGATGGTCTTAGGCGACCCCTGTGAAAGGGTTGTTTGACTCCCAAAGGGGTCATGACCCACAGGTTGAGAACCGCTGGTCTAGAGGTCATGTGGCTAGTGCACAAGAGATTCTCATTCCTCTCTCAGGTGTGGAGCCACTGCAGGGACATCCTCACCTGTGGGCGCTTCTCAAGTTGGTGGTGTGATTATTCCCATTTCATAGAGAAGCAACAGTCAAGGTGACATGGGTCAGAGTGAGAAGCTGAAGGGTCACTTTTATCTTGCCAATGGGCTCTCCATGCTCCAAATCCCAGCATTATCCTTGATGCCCCCATCTCTCCTTCCCCTCCTCCAACACCAAGCCCTATCAAGTTTGTCTTTTACATTTCTCTCAAGGTCATTACCCACTTTTCTATCCCACTGCCCTAACCCTAATCCAAGTCCCTGGCACCATCATTTTGCAACCAGTTCACATCATAACGTTCACCCCATTCTGCCTTACAATCTATCTTACAGTCAGTGTGAGCTTGGAAAAGTCCAAGACTAGTCACATCTCCTCTGCATCAAATGCAGGCAGTGTGGCCAGGTCAGAAGTCAGAGACAGAGGGTGTGACTGGGGTGTGAGATGTCACACTGACAGAGTATGGAACAAGGTTTAAAGATTGACTCATATGACTACATCTACACTAATAAAAGAGAAACATGGTAATTGGCGTACGACCGCTACCCTTCCCATTGGCTAATCCCCGTCACTCACAGAGTAGGGCCAAGATATGCAAATTAACTGGCAGCCAAGACAGCCGACAGCCAGGCAGCTGATGCAAACAGGGAGGCTTGCTTGCTTCAGTGACGGAGAACTCCAACGTTCCGGCCCTGACTTGCCGGCCTCTCAGCTGCAACTCTAAGCAACTGTGTTGCCAATAAAGAAGCTAAAAAAACCCCAGAAACCTGCTTTACTCACGGGAGCTTCAGCCAGCGGGACCACAACATTGTATCAAATACAGACGGTAAACAAAGGCCAGAAACCTGTTTTCAGCAGCCTAGGCTTCAGAGCTAAAGCTGGCCCAGAATAAAAAAAAAGAAAAAAGAAAAAAAGGAGCGGTTGGGAACTTCCATCACCCGTCAGCCTGAAAATGGCCCTCAGCCCCTCAGCCAGACTGGCCAGGCACCCCAGTGGGGACT